TTACAAGACATATGGTTACTTTACAAGTTAATTCTACAACACACATCAAGATAATAAATATTGTACGCAATAGCTATACTTGGTACAGTAACATATGTATCATTTAAAGTGGTTCTAAAGGCTGAAGGTTTTTTATCTTCATGCATTCTATACATGAAGGTCGAAAGCCTTCAGTGTGCCACTCCTTCCTCAACCGTCACTTATACTTACCTGAGCCCTATGCCGATCCAGGGGTGTGTATGAGAGCAGAAGCTCTCCTGGGGCTCTGCCTCCTCGTTGGCCATTGACTCCCACTACTTTCAATCACATGCCGTTAGGAGGGGATGGGGGCGTGCCAGACTCTGTGGGGTTGATTTACTAAAACTGGAAAGTGCAAAATTTGGTGTACCTGTGCATGGTAGCCAATCACTTTCTAACTTCAGCTTGTTCAATTAAGCTTTGACAATAAAACCTGGAAGCTGATTGGTTTATGTGCTCAGCTGCACCATTTTGCACTCCCAGTTTCAGTAAATCAACCTCTGTTTATCTCATAGACAAGCAGCTTGCTCTGGGGGCATGCAGCAAGGTAAGGGGGCTGGAGCACTGGTCAGGGAACTGAAAAAAAGAGGATCGGGGCTGCTCTGTGCAAAACCATTGCACAGAACAGGTAAATATAACATGTTTGTTATTTAAAACAAAAATTGGAACCTTTAAAATCACTTTAACTTGTTCAATGTACAATAAATCTCACTTCAGTTAGAAAGCTTGCAATGCTTTCGACTGTAACAACCATAACTTATCAAGTTATAGCATCAATGAATCATTAAACATTTTTAAAACAATATTGTACAGTGCTGTGCACTGTTCATTCAAGAAATCTGTAGAAATTGTGTTGACACTAATTCCCATGACTCCTAATAAATGTCTAATAACCTATAGTAATCAGTGGTCCTATAATGCAGCCTTGCTGTCCATATGTTATATGATGCATGAAGCTTATCTTTTAGGTTTTCCACTTTTTATTTTCCATAGCTCGATTCACTACCTATAGCCATTCACTCATTGTTGGTGTCTTTAATATTTTCCACAAAAAATAAAATACTCTTAGTTGCATTTAGGAGCTGGAGAAGCATTTTTGTTTTCAATTAGCGTGGGGATATCATGGAACAGCAACACCTTGATATTGGAGATTGGTGGTTGGGTCATTGGAGCTGTAAATCTGTAGTAGGCTGAATAACCATTCCCAGCATTGAAGAAATGTTCCTAGTCCACAATTGCTCCAACATCTGCTGACATATTAGGATAGAATGACACAAACCTGGCCAGCACCCTATGCTATCATGTATATAAAGAGAACTGATAAATGAAACATTATCAATACTTTGTTTTGTTTCTGAGTTATGGGGAAACACTATACCCAAGTCTCTCCTCCATTCCCTAGGGAAATAGGGATCCTGTTGTAAATATATCTAAAAGAGTAGTTGTGTTTAAATTGCAGGTTTTTCCAGGAGTCTATTGGGAATAAAACATTAGCCCCAAGACTATTCCACGAGCTTCAAATTACCATTCTCTAAAAATTTGTTACAGCATGTCTTCCCCATCTGCACTCCACCTTCCAAAAAATGCCAGATTTTCTACTGGGCCAAACAGGAGAGCACCTCATAGTGGAGTTTTAGCAGTGAGTGAGCTTTATTAAGAGATGTTCTTTATTTATGTTATCCCACATTTTCAGTGTAATGCACTTTAGAGGTAAGGTGTGTACAATGGGTCCCCTGTGTAAGTGTTGGTGTGTAAAGTCATGGGATATTTCCAAGGTTAGACCTTGCCAGTGGTATTCCATTGATTGTTTTTCTTTTAACTCTGAATTCCAGTAAACTGTTCTCACAAAAAATATTACCTTTATAATAAAGGTATATGCCTGGTAAGCCCAAACCTGCTGTCTCCTTAGGTCTCCACAAAATCGAGGAAACTATTCTCTCTTTCTGGTTGGTGCAAAAACACTATATAAGTAGCTTACGGACCAGTGAGACAAAGGGTCTTGGAAGTATTTGGAAGAAAAATAAGAATCTTGGCAAGATGTTAATTTTTATTATTAGCATCTTCTCCAATCACATAACTGTGGCTTTGCCCCATTCCTGTAAATCATTTTGCATAGCTTGTAATAGTAGTGGGTATTGATGGTGAATTAAGGTTATGGAGCATTCATAAGCTTGGCCTCAGGTGAGAGGTATTATGTTTTTGCCATCACAAAATTTTAATAAGTTAATATCTTTCTCAGGGATGGTGAATGGGAGGATTTCAGATTTGCTAAGGTTTATTTTAAAGTTTGGTAAGTCATGAAATCTCATAAAATCAGCAATAATATTGTGGAGTGAAATATGTGGTTGGGACGCAAAAACAAAATATCATCTGCAGAATATCTACATCTGCAAAATATCAAATGCAGCAGTTTTTGGCATGTGGAACCAATGTGTAATCCTATATAGATGCCTAGACTTCCATTCATTTGTGATAACAGTATTATAACACATAATGGAAAAGATTGCGAGTTAGTTGCATAATATACTTAAACAGCAAGTTTGTAGTAGAAGTATTTGCATATGCAAGACCAACATTTCTATAGCATAATGCATTTTCCTCTGGGTATTCTAGAGGATACTATGCAGCGTTTTGAACATAGGCCATCTTCTGACTTCAGCTCCTTCAAAGGCTTCAGCATGAATAACCACACAACTCCATTCCCACAATTTAGGATGTGTGGCAAAGAATTTGCTGTAAGTAGTCTTAAAGTGTTAAAAGACCAGACTAGGAATCTCAAGTGCTACTCTTCCAAGGTAGTAAGTAATCCCTTGAGAAATCCAATTCTTTCATAATGTGTCAAAACCTGTAAAATTTATGAAGAATGAAAAGTCCTCTCAAACGTTATCTCAGGGAGTACACTTTAAACTACCAAGACCTGTTCTTATGTAGAAAGTACTTATTTATACTCTGAAGGGTAACTTTAGTTTTATGGAACAAAATAACAGAAAAAAGAAGTAATTTTTTTTATACAATGCTAATATATATATATTAAATAAACATAATATCATATAATGTTCTGTGAATTTAAAAATGCTTTCTAGAGAATTAGCAATAAAATGTACCTAATTTTCAATATGCAGAAATATGATAATTCCAGGCCAGAACAACTATATAAAAAGTTCCTTTAACCACTTCAATACCAGGCACTTTTACCCCCTTCCTGCTCAGGTCAATTTTCAGGTTTCAGCGCTCTCACACTCTGAATGACAACACTGTACCCAAACTACAATTTTATAATTTTGTCCATACAACTAGAGCTTTCTTTTGGTGGTATTTAATCACCACTGGGGCTTTTATTTTTTGCTACATTAACAAAAAAAGACAGAGAATTTTGAAAAAAAAAACGTTTCTTTGTTTCTGTTATAAAAGTTTGTACATAAATAATTGTTCTTCATAAATTTAGGCCAAGATGTATTCTGCTACATTTCTTTGGTGAAAATAACCCAAATCAGTATTTATTATTTAGTCTGTAGGAAAGTTATAGAGTTCACAAACTATGGTGTATATCTGTAAATTGATCAATCCTGAAGTACTGACAGCCAATCTAATTTCTTAAGGCCCAAAAATGTCAGAACAGTACAGATATCCCCCAAATGACCCCTTTTGCAAAGTAGACAGTCCGACGTATTTCATAAGAGGCATGGCAAGTTTTTTGAAGTTGTAATTTTTTTTCTCATAATGTTTTGGAAAATGAATAAATTAAAAAAATTATTTTCACAGTTGTTTTTTTACATACTGTCACCAGTGCAGTACAGCATCATCATATAACTGGCATGGGCGGTGATCAGGGACACTGACTGGTGACAGTTTGAGAAAAAAAACCTGATATTTTTTTTTTTTGGCCCAGCCTGTGCATGTGATCACTGTGACCATTCACAGCTAGACATACTTGTATACAATGGATGGCATGAAAGGAAGCCATCCATTGTATACAACTGTCATGTGACCTGTTGTGATTGGTCACAGCAGGTCACATGGTACTGGCGACGGGGCTGGTACACAGATCTGTCATGTCCGAGGTACATGGTCGGTGCAGGTCTCACCACAGCTGTTTCCTGCAGTAGTTTTTTTTTATGACACCAGTCTTCTGGGTTGAATGAGGGTCAGCGTAATTCATCCGACTTCCTCTGAGGCCAGGCGTATTACTACATTGAACATTGCTCATACATTGTGGAGGAGTAAGAACCACCAGAATGGAAGTGGAAGGAGTTGTGACATTACTGGACCAGCCAAACACCCTTAGAAAAAAGGTCAGTATATATATAAAAGGTCAGTATATATATATATATATCAATATACTGTATATATATATATATATATACAGTATATTATATATATATATATATATATATATATATATATATATATATATATATATATATATATATAAATAAGGCATGAACTCCGCTAGACATCTGAAGATATGCTTTGATATCTGCCCCAGTCGGCTTACTCTTACTCTCATAGTGCTTCTTGGTGCCATCTCTTCCCAAGGTTAGCAATGCAACACACACCTCCAGACATCCACATGATGTAAAAGAATACGTGATTTATCAGACTAGACCATCATCTTCTGTTGCTCCATGGTCCTGTTTGGATGTTCACGTGCCCACAGTAGGTGCTTTTGGCTGTGGACATGGATCAGCATGGGCCTCCTGACCAGTCTGCAGCTATGTCACCCTATACACAACTGCCACACATTGTGTGTTCTGACACCTTTCTATCGGAACCAGCATTAACTTTTTCAGCAATTTGAACTAGTGATGGGAAAATTGTATATTTTATATTTCCTTAATATTGTTGGTTCACAATATCTAATAAGGAGACAAGGATGGTCAGTCACTTTAGATTACTCACACCAAAGGAATGTTACTGAACACTGACCAAGTCCTTAAAAGGTAATATTACTTGAATGAGGGCTGGGAAGTCCAGTATATAACACACAGCTGGACTAGAAATATTTGTCTCGACCAGGGGTGGACTGACAACTCATGGGGCCCCCGGGCAATAGGGGATCATGGGGCCCCTGTGTCCTTTTCCAAACTCAAAAAGCCTATGAAAAAGGTAACAGTGGCATCTCACGGGGCCCCCTACTGACCCCGGGCCCTCGGGCAGTGCCCGAGTTTCCAAATGGTCAGTCCGCCCCTGGTCTCGACCTAGCGCATGTGTTAAGCGTGCATCTATTCTGATCATCGGGCCGCACCATATAATGCAGGGACCCGTGGTGGAAACAGCATCTTTAGTGAAGTATTCTTGTTATATTTTCTTTTTCTTTATCTGTCATTACTTGTAATAAATGTTATAACTATAAGTATTTGTGTGATCTCTCTTTGCACATATTGAATACAACCACAAAACCTTAATAAAACAGCTAGCTCTTCTATTGGAACGGACTACACAGGCCAGCCTTTGAACCCCATGTGCTTCAATTGCATTAATAAGCCTTGGCCACCATGACCCTGTCTCTGGTTCACTGGTTCCTCTTCCCTGAAACACTTTTGGTAGGTTCTGACCATTGCAGATGGAAACATCCCACAATAGCTTCAGTTTTGGATTTGCTCTGACCCAGTGGTCAGTCACTCAAATCATTACACATCAGCTTCAGAAACAACATGTTCATTTGCTGTCTAATATCCACCCACTTTCTGGTGCCATGCTCATGAGATAATCAATATTATTCACCTTACCTGTCAGTGGTCATAATGTTATGGCTGATCAGTGTATACTCTAGTATATACTGTACATATTCTGGGTGAGGACATTTGCATAGCAAAATTTTGTGCTAAATGCAATGTAAATAATTATTTAACTGTGTCTGTTTTTTGTTTTTATGTGTGCTGTCTGGAAGATAAAGTACTGTTCCAGATTTTATTGGACCTGTAACATGAAATGAACCATTTCTGCAAAGACTTCCTGCTTCCCTGTGTTGTGAAAACAAACTAATCATGAAACCAAATGGAGTTTGATCTAACAGTAGCCTGTCCCCCATCTGTTCAATGCACCAACTACAAATCTGCACTGCACACATCAGAGTAAATGTAGCAAATCATTTTGATCTTTTTGTACTATACTTTAGTAACTCACTGCTAAAAAATATATACTCCAAGTACACTTAGGCATGCCATACAAAGCTTGAATTTTGGCTGATTCCTGGTGAATCAGCAGAAATCCGAGTCATGGGTGGCCCACTCAGCACCACCTAGCCTGGCAGACTATATTTGAAAAATCAAAAGACCAGGGTAGAAAATTGTGGACAAACAGTGACTGCATCCAATCAGATGCACTCATTGTTTTGGTATTTAGACAGCAATGGCTGCCAGCTGTATGAATACAATAGCTGTCAGGGAATTCCATATTTTTAGCGTGGATAGGGTTTTCTATTATTATTATTATACAGGATTTATATAGCGCCAACAGTTTGCTCAGCACTTTACAATATAGCGGGAGACAATACAGCAACAATACAGTTCAATACAAGAGGGATTTGAGGGCCCTGCTCCTTGGAGCTTACAATCTAGGAGGGAGGGGCTAGTGGTACAAAAGGTAGTAACTGTGGGGGATGGACTGGTTGGAAAAGTAGAAGATTCCATTATTAGCTGAGGGCAGGATAGGCTTCCTTGAAGAGATAGGTTTTCAGAGATCGCCTAAAAGTGAGCAGATTAGGCGATAGTGTGATAAATTGGGGTAGAGAGTTCAAGAGGATGGGGAAGCTCTGGAAAAGTCCTGGAGACGAGCATGGGAGTAGGAGACAAGGGAGCTAGAGAGTAGGAGGTCTTGTGAGGGGCGGATGGGACGGTTTGGGTGATATTTGGAGACAAGATCGTTGATGTAATTTGGGTAAGAGTTATAAATGACTTTAAACGTACACACACGTATACACATGATTTAACTATAGGAAACAACACTAAGGACTCCTTCACACAGCCATTTAGCTGCATACATTGGATTTCTGCAGCAAGAATCAGTAGATTCTTGCCATTGGAATGACAGGTACACACAAACAGTGATGGCTACTCAGCCTAATTAAGCAAAAAACAGGCTTAGTAGCCACACACCACAGGGTTAACTGAGGTTAGGAACAGATGTCTGAGCCTGGACACAGCCCCTAACCACAGGTAACTGCTTGATTTGTGGCTACATGTGAACTGTGGTGGCCACTGTCAGCCTGTCAATAGTTTACATAGGCTGAGCGGCCTCCTCTCTTCGCATGCACCTGTCACTCCAATCGCAAGAATCAGATGACTCCTGCTGCTGGAATCTGTTTTATGCAGCTAAATGGTCATGTGTAGGAGGCGTTAACCTCTTGCCGACCGCGCATAGCTGAATGACGGCTTCACCGCGGCCGGCCAGTTCTGAGTGGACGTCATATGACGTCCTCCCAGAAACACGCTCTCCTGCGCGCCCCAGGGGGCGTGCACCCGGCGATCTCCGTGATCGCTGTGTCCTACGGACACAGCTGATCACGTGATGTGGTGAAAGGCCGATCCCACCGGCCTTTTACCACGTGATCAGCGGTGTTCAATGACACGCTGATCACAGGGAAATGCAAGTGCCGGTTCTCGGCTGCACTTTCCTCACGCTGTCAGATCGTGAGGAAAGTACTGCGAGAACTGTCAGAGCGGGGATCGGCACCGATCATCAGGGCACTGATGATCAGTGCCCTGATGATCGGTGCCCAGCAGTGACACCCGCAAGTTCCGCCCAGCAGTGCGCCCACTAGCCCCGCCCACCCGTTCCCAGCAGTGCCCCCACCTGTGCCCAGCAGTGCACCCACCTGTGCCACTCTGCAGTGCCACCTACCTGTGCCCAGAAGTGCCACCTACATGTGCCCAGCAGTGCCACCCACCTGTGCCCACCAGTGCCACCCACCTGTGCCCACCTGTGCCCACCTGTGCCCACCCACCAGTGCTGCCCACCAGTGCCACCCACCAGTGCAGCCCAGCAGTGCTGCCAGTCAGTGCCACCAGTCAGTGCCCAGGGGTTGTGCCAGTCAGTGCCGCCAGTCAGTGCCCAGAAGTGATGCCAGTCAGTGCCGTCTATCAGTACCCATCATCAGTGTCACCTATCAGTGCCGCCTATCAGTGCTGCATATCAGTGCCGCCTATCCGTGACCCCTAATTAGTGCTGTCTATCAGTGCCGCCTATCCGTGCCACCTCATTAGTACTGCCTATCAGTGCCCTTTAGTGCTGCCTATCAGTGCCCATCAGTGCCGCCTATCAGTGCCCATCAGTGCCGCCTCATCAACGCAAATCAGTGAAGGAGAAAAAATACCTGTTTGAAAAATTTTTTATAAAAGAAACAAATAAACTTTTTTTTTTTTTTTTCAAATTTTTTGCACTTTTTTAATTTATAACGCAAAAAGTAAAGCGCCCAGTGGCGATTAAATACCACCAAAAAGAAAGCTCTATTTGTGAGAAAAAAATGATCAAAATTTCATATGGGTACAATGTTGCATGACCGCGCAATTGTCAATCAAAGTGCGGCAGCGCTGAAAGCTGAAAATTGGCCTGGTAAGGAAGGGGGTATAAGTGCCTGGTAGGCAAGTGGGTTAAAAAAAAAACCCAGTGTAGTCTAACACTGCCAAACTGAGGAATGAAAAATTATGACTTTAACATTTAAGCAAGGTGTGACACAGTCAGTCACACCTTGCTTAAATGTTAAAGTCATAAATTTTTTGTTCAGTCAGAACATTAACATAAAAAAAATAAAAATATTTCAATCATTTCTTATAAAACAGGAATCCCGCAGGATAAATACACTCAGCTACGACAGTACAAGAGCTTACAAGTCCTCTTTGTGTGGTGGTTGGTCTTGCATCTGTACACAACTTTTCTCTACATACAGTACAGTGTGGAGGTGCTCAGTGAAAGTGAAGGAGTGTCTGATGGGGTTACATAGCTCATAAAAAGAAAGCTCACCAGCCTCATAATCCAGATACACCCTGAACCTCCTAATGGAAATTCGTGATAGCTGTTCCAGACAAAGGTCATGAGATAAGTCATAATTGCTGTAAAACCTCATCAAACACAAGTACTTGTTATTAAATGCAATCCACAGAAAAGGTCCTAATCTGTCCATGCTGGAATAGCACATCCCTATCCCCCCACTCATTCTTTTACAATCTCTTCCTCCCAGTAATGTCGCCCTGAGGAAACTGTCCTAGTGCTTAACACCTAAGGAAGCTGCTGGAATCTGTTTGGCAATCCTGGGCAAATCTGCTTTTTATGGGTCCAGGATACAGTTTTCATGCCATCTGATATGCACAGATGATTACCGGCTGTGTTTACATCAAGTAATAGGTTGGCATGTTCTGGTGTACAAATGCAAAGATCTAGAACTTTCTTAAAATCAGTCCAACCTGTGTGTAAAACTCCTTTGATCAGAGCATGACCTATATAGCTTCAATCGAGGTGATGAAAACCAAGCTTATGAAACATCTCTCTGTCCTTTTCCCACTCCAAGGCAATTTTTTTTTGTCTGTATGTGTGTCAGCGGTTCAGATATGGAAAAATGTCACCAGCACACCGAGGATTAGTCTTCTCTAGTTTAGCCTGCAGGCTGAATAAGAAAATTCTATACATGCATGGCAAATCTTAGCATTTTATATAAGTTACTGGTATGTTTATCCTGTTTAGAGACTGTTGATCCTCACAGTGGATAGCTGAAGGGATCCAAACTCCAAGGATTAAAGGTCCTCCCCACTGGAACTGGAGTTCACTGGTAGCAGCTGGGGTTGGACTCCAGTTATTATTATTATTACAGGTACTTATATAGTGCTGTCAATTTACACAGTGCTTTACATGTATATACATATTGTACATTCACATCAGTCCCTAACCCTCAAGGAGTGCACAATCTAAGGTCCCTAACTCACACTCATACATACTAGGGCCAATTTAGACAGGAACCAATTAACCTACCAACATGTCTTTGGAGAGTGGGAGGAAAGCAGAGTATCCGAAGGAAACTCATGCTGGCACAGGGAGAACATGCAATCTCCAGGCAGGTGGTGCTGTGGATGAGATTTGAACCAATGATCCTAGTACTGACAGAAAGTTCTAACCACTGAGCCACTGTGCTGCCCAAATCCTTGCCAAACCCTCTGGAGAATCTGTGTACTATTAGATCCTGGCCTGGCTCCCTGCATGCCAGTTCT